AGATAATAGTCATTCAGACTAAAAAGAAAGAAAACTATCACTTTTGGATATCATATATAATCAACTATCTGTATCCATGGTTTCTGCATCTATGGACCAAACACTAATTAAAAATGTGTTATTTTTGCTACCACGTGCCATGTAGTTAGGTCTTTGACAGCTGTATTTATACTGAATAAATATAGACTTACGCTTTCTTTATTACCTGAACAATGCAGTATAATAGCATTTATTGAAAAGTCATAATGTAATTTTCTGTATTTTTCTAATAAAAATGCATCATGGGGACCAGCAGATGGCATGATGGTTATGTCACTGGAGCACAGAAAACAGTAATGGAAAGATTATTATACCATATAAGCTTAATTGCAGTTGCTTGAGGCAGTGATAATAACTGAGACAAATAAAAAACTCATCAAAAAACTTAAAAGGAAAAGCTGAGGAATGAGATGTCCACCGGGCTTTCTGGAAGGCCACCATGTAGTCAACCATGGTTTGAATCCCAGACCTGGTGACTTAAAACTCATGCCAGGCACATGTGCATGCATGCCCAAAATCCTGAGAGGAGAATGGAGGCAAAATGTTTGTGGCATGGCCATCCCCACAGTGGGTGATTTCTCATTTTCTGTCTCTCTGTCTCTTCAGCAAAAGCATGTGCCCTATAACAAAAACCTCTCTTAACAACAACAACAAAAAGCATCATCCTGTAAAGTTGCAAGATAAAAGATCATTATACAAAATAATCAATTGTATTTCTACATACTATCAAAAAGCATTCCTAAAATATTACTTGGGAATAATAAACTTATTCTCTGCTTTAAACAGAAAGTTACTTAAAGAATTCCATTTAAAATGTTATTTTAAAAATAACACACTTCAGAATAAATTTAACCAAAGAAATACAAGATTTGTAAAATAAAAACTATAAAACATTGCTGAAAGAAATGAAAAAATATCTAAATAAATGGAAAGATGCCCCATGCTTATGGATTAGAAAACAATATTGTTTCTATTCCCCACTTGATCAACTGATTCATTATATCACCATCAAAATTACAGCTGCCTTGTCTGTAGAATTGATAAACCTGTCATAAAACTACTATGGAAGCAAGGATGGTTCAACATACACAAACCCATAAATGTAATACATCATATTAACAGAAAGAAAGATAAAAAACATATGATCATTTCAATAGATTCAGAAAAGGTGTTCAATAAAATACAACATCCCTTCATGATTAAGACTCAGCAAAATCAGCATATAAGGGTCATTTCTCAACACAATAAAAACCATCTATGAAAAACCTATAGCTAACATCATACTGAATGTGGGAAAACTGAAAGTTTTTCCACTAAAAACTGGTACAAGGAAAGGTTGTCTACTGTCTCCACTCATTTTCAATATAGAGCTGAAAATCCTAGCCAATGCAATCAGAAAAGAGAATAAAATAAAAGGTATTCAAATAGAGAAAGAAGAGGTAAAATTATCTCTATTTATAAATGACATGATTGTATACATAGAAAACCCAAATGTATCCCCATAAAAACTCCTGGAAGTAATAAAGGAATATAGTTAAGTGGCAAGATACAAAATCAACATACAAAAGTCTAGTGTTTCTAGATATGAACAACAAGCAGACTAAGATAGAACTGAAGAAAGTAATCCCATTTACCATAGCCACAAAAAGAATAAGATACAGAGGAATAAATCTAACCAAAGAAGTAAAAGACCTTTACAAAGAAAACTACAAATACCTAAAAAAAATGAAATTGAAAATGGTACAAAAAAAAAAAAAAGTGGAAGGACATCCCATGTTCCTGGATCAGAGGAATTAATATAATCAAAATGATAATTCTACCCAAATTAATCTACATGTTTAATGCAACCCAATAAAATTACCATAGACATTTTTCACAGATTTAGAAAAGACAATCATTGAATTTGTCTGGGATTATAAAAGACCCTGTATTACCAAAGCAATCCTACACAGGAAGAGTGGAGTAGGAGGCATCTCACTCCCTGACCCCAAAATGTATTACAAAACTGTGATAATCAAAACAGCATGGTATTGACACAAAAACAGACATGTGGACTAATGGAACAGAATAAACCCCAAAATACACAGCAAACTTATTTTTGGCAAAGATCACCAGTCAATCCAGTGGGAAAAAGAAAACCTCTTCAGCAAATAGTGTTAGAAAAAATGAGTATCCATCTGCAGAAAGATGAACCTGCACCCTTATTTCTCACCATTAACAAAAATGAACTCAAAGTGGATCAAAGATCTAAACCTGAGACCTCGAACTATAAAACTACTGGTGGAAAATACTGGGGAACCTCTGAGAGACATCAAAGTAGGCAAAGACTTCTTAAATGAAACCCCAGAACATAGGCAACAATCACAGAAATAGACAAGTAGGATTATATCAAATTAAGAAGTTTTTGCACAGCAAGGACACAGTAATTAGTGTGAATACACAAACCTCAGAATGGGAGATTTTTTGTAAACTATGTCTCCGGTAAGGGACTGATAACCAGAATACACAGGGAACTCATGCAGCTGACAAGCATATGAAAAAAAATGCTCACCATCCCTTATCATAAGTGAGATACAAAACAAAACTACAATGAGATACCTCCTAACTCCAGTCAGATTTTAAAAAATAATAAGTGCTGCTGAGGCCATGGTGAAAGGGAATTCTCCTACACTGTTGATAGGAATGTAACTTAGTCCAGCCACTGTAGAGAACAATATGGAGGTTCCTCAAAGATCTACAAATAGAATTACCATATAATCCAGCAATTCCACTCCTGGGTATCTACCCAAAATATAGAAGAACACTCAGTCAGAAAAGTGCTTGCACATTTATGTTTATTGTGGCATTATTCACAATTGCTAAGACATGGAACCAACCCAAATGTCCATGACCAGATGAATGGATTGAAAAAGCGTGGCACATATACTCTTATGGAAAAGTACTCAGCCATAAAAAAAAATAATAAAATAATCAAGACCCTGGCATCTGATTGAAAGTGAACAAACATGGGAGATTAACTGCTGAGTGAAGCAAGCCAGGCTATGAAAGAAAGACATATGTCTTCACTTAATACATACCAACTGTCCACACTCTATGGTGGAAACTGAGATTAGAAGCTATAGAAGCATGGGAAATGGTTACAGATTCTGGAGACAGTGTGGGAAGAGGGTAGAAGGCGGTGAAAGTGGGAGGAAAGAAATCAAGGCAAGAAATAGAAAGGCAAGACAATTATGGGACGCAGAAATGGGTGATTATCTGTTGATGATAACATACATAATATCTTCAACTAGACTGATGTGAAGTGTATTCATTTCGAGTAAAATCACTTTACAAGCTGTAGTGAAGTATAGTGATTGAACGTATAAAAGAAACTAAAATTTTTAAAAATTACTACAGAAATGCAAGATCCAGAATAGCCAAAGTCATCCTGAAAAAGAACAACGGTGGGAGACTTACACTGTCTGATTTCAAAATTTACTGCAAAAGTAACAGTTAAAGATAGTGTGGTACTGGCTATAAATAGATATATAGATTAATGGAGTCAAAATGAGATTTCAAGAACAAATCTTATGGTGAAATGGTTTCCAGTGATGATATTTTTTTAAATGGAGAAAAATAGAATTTTCAACAAATGATACTGAACAATTGAATATTTGCATACAAAAGAATAAAGTTGGACCCCTATGTCATGCCTTATGTCTAAGAAAAAAAAAAAAGCAAAAAACCTAACTCACAGTAGATCAAAGAACTAAATGTAAGAGAAACATGATGATAATAAATGAAATAAAATAATTCTTAAAAATCACAATCTCTAAGAAGAAAGCATAGGTATAAGTCTTTATGGCCCTGGGTGAGACAATAGTTTATTAGGTATGGTATCAAAAGCACAAACAAAAGAAAAATTAATGCAGTGGTCTCCATCAAAATTAAAAATCATTTGTGATTTAAAGGTCACTATAAGGAAGGTGAAAAGATAATCTATAGAAGGTGAAAAAATATTTGCAAATCATATATCTGATAAGGGAGAGAATATATGAAGAGCTCTTACAACAATAGAAAGACAAATAACTCAATTTAAAAATAGGCATAGATTAAGACCAGCAGATGGCATAATGGTTACGTCATTGAACTCAGATATAGTTGACCGTGGTTCAAGTCCCTGACCCAGTGGCTTAAAAAACCTCCAGCTGGGTACATGTGCATGCATGCCCAAAATCCCTAGAGGAGAATGGAGGAGAAGGG